AAACTAACACCTTTACAATGACAGGCCGACTTCTCACTAAGAAATGGCTTTCCTTGGAACAGTATTCAAATTCAAGCTTTGCCAGGATTTCCCAGAATGCCATTTTACATATTTCTTGGATAAGTAATTAGCAATTTATCTTATGCACTGGCCACGTATGGAGACACATTTGCACCATCCTTGATCATGAGTGACCTTCTAAAGGCAGGATTAAGCGTAGTCCCAGCTGGATACATCCTGTTGTCATAGGACGTCTTATTAAACACGGGCATCTGGTACTAAAATTTGGGAAAAATATGTTAGAAATTACCTATTCATTTTCCAAGTTATGATAGGGTTTGTTTATAGTCGTTATAGTATACTACAGTTATAAGCAAGAGTAAGGCTATAGTTTTGAATTAAATTCAAGATATTTGGTATAATTCTGCGTTTCTTCAAAGTTTGAAGAGATCTAATTTGCTTGATATTATAATTCGTGGCTAGAATTGAACAATGACCAATCACAATTCTAGTTGTAATTTATAAGTAATTAACTTGTTAACTTGGTCAAGGTATTAACATTTACTATATGCTACTGTTAGGTGAACAAACAAGTAAATATGATATAAAACACACCGTTTTTTACGTCTGGTGAGAAGGGCCACCTACTTATAATTTTTATTTTAAGTGTATTAATTTTTTAAGGGACGAACAAGTTTTTTTCATCATAAATAATAAAAAAATCTACGTGACTATCTTTTGCATTAATAATTGTATGTGAACAGTGATGACACATTGGAAAACTTTAAGCAACAATGTAGTTTTATTATTCCCATCGAGCTTTTTGTGGCTCGTGGGAAAACCTTTGTTAGATTGGTCTCACAATGCTGCTCATTCCTCGTGCATAGTTAAATTCCGCTGTAAGGCGGCCGTGAACTAGATTTGTTTAAATCGCATGTAGGTAGGTTTTCAGTAAGATCTTTAGGATAAAACTTCATCTAATTTATATAAATATTTCATGTTTTGTTCATACAAGTTCTTAATTGTATGAAAAAGACCGTTTTAATTATGTTGAATTCTTTGTTTTAGTTTGTGTAAACAATAAATAATAACTTAAATGGGCAAACGGTAACAAGTAATGTAAAAAAAAATAAGACGTAATATTAGTAGTGAAATTAAGGCTAAATGACGAATATCAAGGGATGTTTTACTTTAAAATGTGTGTGAAGAAGAGCACAACTAATATTATTGTTTACAAATATTCGCAGCAGATCTTCAAAAAGCAAAAGTTCAGTGCTTTTTAAAACATTAACGTTCTTTTTGGTCTTTAAAGTAACACTTGTGACCTTGACCTTTAACTCCAAGCTTAATGTTAAATGTGTGTGAAGAGCACAACTAATATTATAGTTTACAAATATTCGCAGCAGATCTTCAAAAAGCAAAAGTTCGGTGCTTTTTAAAACATTAACGTTCTTTTTGGTCTTTAAAGTAACACTTGTGACCTTGACCTTTAACTCCAAGCTTAATGTTTTTGCAAATGTGGAAAGAACAAATCATGCGTCAGATTTAATAACCTTTTTCTTATCAGTTTTTAAGGTGAAAGAGGAAATGTTTTATTACCTTGACATTTGACCTTTTTGTTTTGAAAAAGCATGAAATATATTTATTATATTTTTTATTGTATTACGTTAGATGACCTTTATCTTGAACCTTTCTTTAGTCAGACAAAGATAAGGAGGAAACGAATCAAACTATTAACGTGTACCTCAAATTATATAGCAGAAGCCATTTCAACCCGAACCTGAAATTTATTTGTTTTTAGGTGGCGTTCATTGTTGTCGTGGTGTCAGTTTTTCTGTTTGTTCGGAACCCATACTTGCCTACAACCTGTGTTGATAAAAAAACATCATGTTCACAACAATTATATACAGAGAAAAACTGTCAGGTGTAATTGTTACTTTGAATTTAATTTGTGTTAATTAAAGTGTCATTTTCTTCGTATAAACAAGTGATTTACAGCTGCTATTACTTTAAGTAATAGTTAACGTTATGTAAAATGTTTAATAGTTTTAAACGTTTGGCTAAACTAATTTTCATAATGGTTTTGTGTAATTTTACCTCTCTTTTGGTTACAAAACGAATGCTTGAATTTTTCCTCTTTTTTGTGGTGTGCTTCTCTTTCAAAACGCGAATTTGTAACATGACTAGTTGAAGATTTATGATTGAAAGTAGCAGCACAATCCCATGACCGGCTTGCAGGGACAATGTCTGTGTCTTTCTTATCCAAGCGGTAATATTTTCCTATCAGTCGAGAATGGCTTATTTTCTTTTATCAATTGAAACTTAAAAAATGGTGTTTGTAAAACGTCTTGACAGATGGGGTTACTGATACTTTCGTATGTTAATTTATTTAACACCCAGTCTGACAACAACCTGATTGTAAGATGGAAAAGCATCATCGCTAAGAATGGAGACTATTTAAATTAATTTTTTTTGTTTTGATATACAAGTTGTACGGGTTTTTCATCTAAAAATAGCAAAAATTAATTTCATGACGATCTAATATAAATATACACTTGTCAAATTAACATACTGTTAGTAGAATGCTGTTTGATAAAAAAAAAGACTGACACCGTGAATCTTAATAAACAAATGCTTAGCTTAGATGATGTTCAGTAAATTCCGGACTGATCTCCCGTGAGTTCAGGTTAGGCACCACGTTCCTTATGTCAGATGTAAAGCTGTATTCTTCCGGTAGTGGTAAGCCAGGCGAGTAGCCTTGTTCCTCATTAATTTTTTAGCCGCGGATGAGCGGTGGCTCATAGAATGGCTCGAGTTTGTTTTTCAAGTACAAGATTTTGACTCGTAGCTCCGCCATCTCTCGACCTATTTGATATCTAATTACAGTTTTTGACTCTGGAGATCAAACCCTTCCAATTTATTATTTGTCCACGCCCAAGGTCTCGTAGATTAATTTAGTCTAATCCTGGCTAAAAGAATTTTAATTTGAGGGTTGGCTGGTAGTGACCCTGATGAATAATAAAATAAAATCGGGTATATGCGCGCCCCACGCTTGGTATTGCTGGCGTACAAAATATAGCTAATAAAAAGGGGAAAAAAAAGGTCTGATAGATTAATTTACTCTAATCCTCTATAAAAGCATTTCAAGTGCTGCGGCTTTTGAGGATTCCCTCTTGTTTTTCAAAATTCGGGTTAAAAGTTAACCATCTCCGAATAGTCAACAGAAAATGGCTGGAATCAACGAAGGTAAATTTACTTGCCTATGAAAACAAGAGGGAATCTTCAATAGCGCGGCCCGGCATGGCTCGAGTCGCAATCTGCAGGTCGCGGGTTCGAATCCCCGTAACACCAAACATGCTCGCCCTTTCAGCCGTGGGGCGTTATAATGTGATGGTCAACCCCACTATTCGTTGGTAGAAGAGTAGCCCAAGAGTTGGCGGTGGGTGATGATGACTAAGCTGCCTTCCCTCTAGTCTTACACTACTAAATTAGGGACGACTAGCGCAGATAGCGCTCGTGTAGCTTTGCGCGAAATTCAAAACAAACAAACTTCAATAGCGCGCACTTGAATGCAAGTAAAAGTGCTGGATCATTTCCTGAAGTCAGCTCGGAGTCATGAGTTTGACAACTACAAGGAAATGTTTTCCCCTAGTGGAAGATATAACAACTAAAGCTGTGCACTCAGAATTCAGTCAATATGTAGCAGAACCTTCTCTAAACAACCCAGAACTCTCAGTAGTGAGATTCTGGAAAGATGTCGCAGCCAGATACATAGCGCTGTCAACAGCAGCATTAATTCTACTCTGTATTCCGGCTGGAAGTGCAGCAGTAGAACGTTCCTTCAATAAATTGCGCTGTACCCAAAGACCGCAGAAAAATGTCCGAAAATATACTTAAATGGCAAAAGATGTATGTTAATAGAACGAAATTAGTGTAGTAAACTGTTTTATGTATATGTGGTATTAACCAACCAGAAGAAAACGGAAACTGGTAAAACAAGATTTTTTTTTTCCCCTGAAAGCTTTTAATTAATTGTACTTAACTAAAACATTGAGAGAGTGCCCATCTACAATACTTGGTTGATGTTTAAGAATGAGAATGTTTGTTGTTGTAGTTTGTTTTTTAAAGACAATGCAAACTGGTGACAGGAAAGACCAGTGTACTTCCTTGTAACCTACTTGTAACTTTTTTGAAACTCGGAGAATAACCATCTTAAATACACTGTAATTGGTTTATGTTTAAGATATATCTAACTAAAGACATTTCAAATTATTGGTAGAACCAGACCAGTAGACTTTTTTTTTTTGTATCCGGTTGTGACTTTTTCATACTGAGAGAGTAATCGGCTATACTTTATTTGTGCTTAAGCATTTTTGATTTTTTTTTCTGAATAAAATCGTATTTCAAACCGATTATTTATTTTTTCTTGATTATACATAAGAAATTTCACCCAATTCTTACCCCTTTTTTTATTTAAAAAAAATCTACCGGATTTAAAAAAGAAATTGTTGACCTTAACTTAGAAAAAAAAAAATTCGCTCGAAGATCGCAACCCCCTAAAGATAGAACGTAATAAAACAGTTATATATACGTAGCTGGTTTACAAGAGAGCAAAATTATTATATTCAATCGTCTTTTAATTCTAGCCACTAGTTCCTTCACTTCTGTCAAATCAACGTTGGAATTTCTGTCATGGAAAGGTAGCGTAAGTTTATAATAAATGTAGTACATCTGTTACGTGTGTAGTGGTATAGTTTGGAACCTCCTATCAGAAAAAGATGGCGATAGTTGTTATACTTAGTTTAAAGTGTTTTATACGTACTTAAAACGTTGACCCCGGTGGCTCAGCAGTATGCCTAAGGGCTTATAACATTAAAAATCAGGTTTCGATGCCCACGGTGGGCAGAGCACAGGTATCCCATTGTGTTACTTTGTGCTTAATAACAAACAAACTTAAAAAGTTATAAATGCTGTTTTTTTTCTTCTTCGTTTCTTTTTAGGGAGAAATAGGATTTGCTACGTTACCAGAACAAATTCACCGGAAGTCGGTAAAAAAGGGCTTCGATTTTACCATGATGGTAGTTGGTAAGTTATGTTAGAAATTATATTAATTTTGAAACTATTATTTCTGTGGGTAAAGTATACATTTTACCACTTATGTTCTTTTTCCCTCCCATCATCTCTCACTTATTACTGATTGTACATAAACAAATGTTTGTCACAAATATTATGCTGTGTCTGTGTAAGAAAATATTTACAAACATGTGTGATGTTTTTTCTCGTTAGCATGAATGTTTCTATTGCATTATAACATGTAAGTATATTGTTGCATGTAACTAAGAAGACAGTTTTTTTATGGGGTTTCACAGTTTATACGGACAAGATAAATTAATCAGTGGTCCGGAAAAAGGTGGAGGAGTGGAAGAAAAAGTTTCTAAACTATGTTACACCTAACTTAAGTTGCATCATTATGATCCTCTCCGTTTCCCCGAACTGCCCAGTCTACCGAAAGATTCGTGTGTTAAAGAATATAGATTCATCACACCTGTTGTAGAATTTCCATGGCAAAAATAACAGTTAATCCCTGAAGGGTTTGTTGCTCATGGTAGTCAACGGAGGTGTTGTATGTTCAATTTTAACACCTTCTGTTGTCACCTAGAGAAGCATTTACTTCATTATGAATATAGACTTCAGTGTAAAAATGGTTGATGACATTTACTTCATTATGAATGTAGACTCCAGTGTAACAATGGCTGGTGACATTTACTTCATTATGAATGTAGACTCCAGTGTAACAATGGCTGGTGACATTTACTTCATTATGAATGTAGACTCCAGTGTAACAATGGCTGGTGACATTTACTTCATTATGGATGTAGACTCCAGTGTAACAATGGCTGGGG